GGGGGGTGGGAAAGAAAAGAAGCAAATTAGTGATAAGGGTTCTAGAGATTGAACAGCCACACGCAAATTGTATTTTGATGTGACTTTTAACTACAAATTAAACGAGGGAATATATATTTAAAGTAATTTCAACCAAACTTTTGAATTCGCAAAACAGCTTTTATTAAATTATCAGAATTACTGCTCTCTGTTTTATAATTGTCTATAATTTGCACAAGGAAGCTATCAACTTTGTCTGGCTTATATTCTAATCTACTCATTTTCATTGGTGACATTTAGAAGAGAAAAAGAAAACCAGAAAGTCTATGGTGTATAAGATAATGATCAAAGGTTTCATACTCAACCAACTAAACACTTTTCAAATAAATTCACTTGCGTGCAGGAAACTCCAACTAGATTTGTATTTAGACCATTTCGTGTTCACCAAACATAATATATATAACATACTCATTGTGCACCTTTCCCTCCACCATTTACTACTACAGCTACACTTAGACTTCTGCTTCGCTTAACCAAACTCAATTGAGCCCATACCAGCTTCCATGGGATCTACAGATAAGCCGGCTGACCTGGAAACTGCCAAGGAAGTCCCGCCACCACCAAAAGGGGCGGCCTACGGGTCTACACCTCCTCCCCCTAAACGCGATTACTTCTTTGTAGTTGATGTGGTTCTCAGGTTCCTAGTGTTTGCAGCATCACTTACAAGTGTGTTGGTCATTGTCATTAGCAAGCAAACAGTTCACCTAGGTCCTAGAATATCTGTGGCCAAGTTTAATCACTCTCCGGCCTTCATGTGAGTAATTTATATGCACCCAAAATGTTTTTTTTATTATTTTGCTGGCATATATTTAGATGCATGGTTACAGCTTGCTCAACACAAACATGCACATATTATGTTTGATTGTTCATCTTGCAGACAGAACACTCTTGGTGCCTCTAATTAGTTCTGTTTTCAAAAGCTCAACAATTATTTCTCTCCATGAGAATCCTAAATGAAATTTCTTGATGTACAAGGAATAACCAAAATTCTCTTCATGTTATTCTTCTTTCCAAATAATTTAATATATAAAAAAAACTAAAATTACACTATAAACTCTTAGACATGTTCTAGTCGGGCATGGGACTTTCTATTTTCTCTACAATTCTTAAAGAGTCTTACCCTTCATGCTTGAAATCAGCTTTTCATCTATTTACTTGTATCAATCATTTTAGGTGAGATTGCTTGTATAGGAAGTACTTCTGCTCATAAGTGCTTTTATGAGAATTAAAAGGTCAAATTTTTTTATGCTTTCTGAAAAAGCACGGTGCTTTTTCATAAAACACTTTATAAACCATAAGCAATTTAAAATTATTATAATATATGTACAGAACAAATGATCAAATAAGTAAATTCAGTTTTATTTTTCTTCTAGTGTTGGGGTTTTTTCCCCTAGCTGCATAGGAACATGTATTTGTGTATAGACTAGGATGCTTTCCTACCAAAAAAGTAGGTAAATCTCCAACCATCAGCCACCTGTTACAGTTGAATCAGAAAGATTACCTGCTGAAGATTAAGCAATCTTTTAGTTTTTAATAACTCTAATCTTTGCTTTTCCTTCCTTTAACATGGAATCTATCTATCTAATCTTCTCTTTTGGGAGTAGTGGGATTCTCTTTTTATAAAAATGGAGAATTAATTGGCATCAAGCTTAGAAACCTATGCATGTCATCCACTCACCCACAAGAGGATTTTCTAATAATCTTAGTAATAGGATGGGCCTGCAATTAAAGATATTCCTCTTACCAAATTGGGGCATCTAATTTCTTAAATTAGTGGTTTCCACATGGAGAAAATATTGTATACAATTTGTATATCTCACCATAATTAAATATTTGACCAGAAATGAGGATTGAATTGTGAAAGAGAGGTTGTATCTACAATATCTCCCACTAGAGAGATGTCTCTGATGTATCTTCTTGTTTCAGATACTTTGTGGCGGCACTATCAGTTGCAGGCCTCTACGCCATTATTACCACGCTAGCATCCCTTTCAGTCATCTGGAAGCCAATCCTCTCAACAAAGTTCTTGCTTCATTTTGTATTTTTGGATGTGGTAAGCTCTAATCTGTTTTCTTATATGTACCAACAGCATAAACAGTTCACATAGTATGCTGGCACTTACATTTCAAGCTCGTTTGTAGTGTAATCCAAGCAGCTAAAATTTGTTCCTTTCATTCTTGTTATGGTAAAACACAAGATTGACAAACTATGCATGTGCAATGCTTATGATGCAGCTAGTATTGGGTCTGGTAGCCTCGGCCACTGGCACAGCCGGAGGTGTTGCATACATCGGATACAAGGGCAATAAACATACGCAGTGGCTGAAAGTGTGCTCTACTTTTGATAAGTTCTGTCAACACGTTGTAGGCGCTCTGGCTACCTCATTGTTTGCCTCAGTTTTGCTTGTCCTTCTTGTCTGGCTCTCCACTTTCACTCTCCACCGAAAAATTCCCAAATAGAGTTTGTGCAGATGGCCTTACATATATTAGAATCCTACCCACATCCCATCAGATATTTTGTGTGTATGTTTTGTGTGTTTCATATTGAATCTTAGCGTTTGTGGATTTGTGTAATTTATAGGTTCGTTTCTTGTGTAAATGTTTTCTATTTGTACAGTATATCTATCTCGTCTCTGATGTGTCTTGTATGATATGTAAGCCCAATGGATGAATCTTAGTGTGTGGATTTCTGTACATTTGCAGGTCGTTTTGAATTTTAACTGTCGTCTACTTGTAGTTTTGTACGGTATTGATTCGTCTTGAATCATTTGTAAGTCAGGACTCATGTCTGGTCATGGGTTTTCTAAGTGCAATTGAATGAGAATTAGTTGCTGTTGCAATTGCAAATCTGTTTCCTCCTGTGTTTTGGCTCATATGTTAACCTACCTCACAAAATTACAAAGGAATTACTATGTGATTTCCATCTTCTTTAATGTGGAAAGAAAGCCAATACAAGGCAAAGCCAAAAAATATGAACTGCATTTGATATGGTATATCAGGAAGGAAACCCACATGACCAAGACCAACTAAAGTTCAGTTGCAAAATGAAAAGTACATGAATGTAGACTGCCTATGTAGAAGTATATGAGCTTTACTTGAAGTTTCAGCTCATTCTTTTTCATAGCTTACCTAGAAAGAAGATTAAGTACACCACGTCGATACGCATTTTGCACTGTAGGAACAAAATAAATGAAAAGTATATCTAGTACCCAACCTGACTAATTACAGGCTGCAACTTGCAAGACATTAAAATCTAACAAGTGATTACATTATGGGCTCAAATAAACAATTTGATTATATGAATTATGATGATGTAATTGAAGAATCAGTAAAGCATCTTACAGCAATGATCATAATTACTTGCTTGTCACTCATACAGAATACAGTTGGTGTACTGATAAGAAACTGCATACCTTAAAGCAGACTATAGTACAAAACTGGTTGAACCAATTGAGGAAGTGAATGTACAAACTTGTTACCATAGCCCAACTTCTTAGAAAATTGTCTGTTCCCCTAATTCCTGTCCAGCCATCCCCTCCCTCAGCACAGTCTCAAAGAATTCTTCCAATGTGTCTTTACCATAGCTTGGTGTTTTCTCAGCATTATATTCTCCAGTCTCAGGATCCAAAACCAACATACTCTCAGCTGCATAATACCTCCCAATCTTCCCAAATTCAGCAGTATCTTCCATTGAAGGAAAGATCTTTACAAGGAAATCAAGAACCCCGATAGCGAAGTCCATTATTTCGATGGGCACTTTCAAGAACTTGGGTTCCCTCCCCACAAGTCTAAACAGCAACTCCCCCTGCTCCAATGGTGTCAAGGCCTTCCCGGGTCCGCCAATAGGCAAAACCTGGTTAATTTTGTTTTCACTCAACACACAATCCGAAATAAACGAAGCCAAATCCGCCTCGCTAATTGGCTTGCAAGCACACAACTTTCCATCCCCAAACATCACATAAGGCTTTCCATCTTTCACCAACTCAACCTGGCCACCCAAGCTCTTAAAGAATGCAGTTGGCCTCACAATACTATAAGTGAACCCATTGTCCTCTTCAGCTCCTCTGATCAACTCAGACTCGAATTTCAGCTTTGCACGCTGGAACTCAAGAAGGGGCTTCTGCACACAAATTGCAGAAAGCAATACAAAATGTGAAGCCCCACGTCTCCTACCGGCAACAAGACTATTCTTTGTTGCCTCATAGTCTATCTTCCAAGAGTCCTTTACACCACCAGAACGGCTAGCAAGGCATGAAACAACAACATCAATTGAAACCCCCAAGTTTTCCAAAGATTTCTCCAAAGTATCCAAATGGGTAACATCTGAAAAGCACACATTGGCTCCTTTCAACTGATTCAAAGTCTCATCCTTGCTAACCTTACCTCTAATTCCACTCTTCTCCCTAGAAACGGCTATAACATTGAACTCTCTATTAACTAACTCCTTAACCACAAATTTTCCAATATACCCAGTTGCACCCACCACCAAAATGTTGATATCTTTTGGGTTTTTGCCTCTGAATGAAGGTGGAGAGGCGGTTGCAGCAGTTGGCGTCGCTGAAGCTGAAATGGGTTTTGTTCTTTCTTTGCTAAACTTGAAAATTTCAGATAAGTTTAAAGGAGAAGATGGGGAACCATAAGGAACAGAGCTTACCTTAGCTTGGTTGGTGAACTGAGAAGAGAAACGTGTTAAGAAGCTTTGGTTCTTTGCTGAATGAAGACTGAATACAATGGAGGAGAAGCACAGTGACATTTTTTTTTCCCCTTCTTTTGTTCAATTTCAGGAAAGTTGATCAGCGAGGAGGAGCTTGTGGTTTCGGTTCAGTGGAATTCATGGTCGTTTTGGAGCTGATACTCTATCTGAGAGTAGGATTCAAATGATAGGTGGATATAAATGATGACGTGTAACTCTACAGTTTCTATTTCTCAAAAAAAAAAAATTATTGAAATTATTTCCCAAAACTTAAAACTCAGAAACATAAAATATATGTTAGTTGGATTTGTCCAGACTTTTGGTGTATCCATGTGTATGAGTTTTCCCTCTCTCCTTCCTAATTTTGACACAAAAATAAACATAAAATAAAATAAATAGTACTCAAATCTCATGAACAATAGTTGTTAAATAAAATAAAAATTCGAAATTAAGTTAGCATAAATCCGAATAAAAAAGCCGAAATATTTTGATCTACAAAACTATAAAAGGGGAGACAGCATAGATGTAAGAGTGTCATTTTAAGCTCATTCTATTCATCTTTTTGTGTTTGGACCATAAGATTACCATTTTTCAGCTGATAAGACATGCTAATCAATGTTTTTTTTTTGGTCGAACATGCTAATCAATGTTGGTAGAATTAATTAAGTTGAAGTTGTAGAAGTTTTGACCATTACTCCAAGCCTCTTTTTATGCAGAAGTGCAAGCCAACCAAGTTATGCAGCTGATTCAGGCTCTTTCTCTGGTATGGAAGGTATAGATCTACATCCTTATGACCAATTCCTAGGGTGTGCATACTAAAAGAGCAATATTTTCCAAATTTCTCTTTCAAAAATCAGTTGGGTCATCACCAAGGAAAAAGTAAAATTGGGTAAGATGTATACCAACTCAATCCATATGGAATTCTGAGCATTCACACACACATATCTTTTTTTTGGATTCACACATAGGCAAAAAGTTTTGGAAGCAGAGTTTTGGAAGTCAACTAGAACTTTCAAGACAAACACTTTTTGAGGACAAAGTCTTGTTGCTAGTCAACCAAGGAAGTTTCTGTGGCCAAAGAAAATCCAAGGAAGTTTCATACTTGGGACAATTTCTTCTTGGCCAAACTTCTTACAACCACAAACAAAAAAAAAAACCAAACAAAAAAAAGGATTTTAAATAATAAAATAATAAATCTCAATCATTTCTCTGGGGGAAAAAAAAAAAGGCAGAGCCACCAAAAGAAAAATCCCTTAGCCAAATATTGTGATTTGTGAGCTGGATCATAAGGAAATGAACTTGGAAGAATGCACATGAAAGCAGAAACGAGTACCATAAAATTAGAGAGAGCAAAACAATATCTAATTTATTATGAGTTTATAAATTGCCTCCAAGTCTTATTACAACTGGAAAAGATCATGTTTCCAAGACCTTGTCACAAGCACATATTACATACGAGTTACACCAGATCGAACCAATATAACTATGAAACCAACCATGATTATTTGCAGCACCTCTATGCAGTAAAAAGGAGAAAAATTACTGAGAGGTCAAGACTCAATAGCAGCGATACACGGCAACAACCCGGCCACGCCGCGGTGGTGAAGAGAAAACTGTCATAATGAGAAGAGCTACGACAATCACCACCAGAACTGCTGCGAGATTAATACCATCATCATCTTCAGAACAGCAATACTTCCCCATATGCAGTATAGATATATATGTCACCTCTACAAAGCACAAGCTTGAAGCTCTAAACTATGAGGCAAAAGTTGCAAAAACTTGAAGCTCTATACTTCCAAGGCAAAGTTGCAAAAGCTAGAAAGCTTTTTGCAAATGGAGTATTAGAGGGAGTGAATTTGAGGGGTTGGAAATTCTTGGTTCCCCAACTTCTAGTTATAGACTAAATTAAGTCAAGTTGACTTAAATTCTTTATTATTTGGACAAACTACATAAAACCCCCTAAACTATAGGGTCATTTTCAATTTCATACTCAATTTTAGAGATTTACGAGTATATACTCAAACTCCAGGAAACCTTACATTTTACCCCCTTCGTTAGCCAAACCGTTAGTTAATCTGTTGAATGCTAATGTGGTATTTGTGGGACCTATTTTTTAATTGATGTGGACTCCACATAAGAAATCAAATGAATAAAATAAATGAAAAAAAAAACTAACAAACAAACAAACTCATCTTCACCGATATCATATTAACTAACGGTTTGTCTAATGAAGGGGGTAAATTGTAGGGTTTCCGAGAGTTTGAGTTTGTACTTGTAAATGTCTCTAAAATTGGGTATGAACTTGAAAATTACACTATAATTTGAGGGGATTTATGTAGTTTTTCCTTATTATTTTGAACTCTATTTTGGACCTGCCTCGAAATAACACTTTGTTTAATTATTGCATCATCTCCTACCCTATGTTTCTAGATTAGCATGACAAGTGCAGGAAAATTCCTCTCTCTTACCCACCTAATAAGTCAAGATCTGAACATTATTAAACAAATTATGCTCTATCATGTTAGTTTCTATTCCAATTAGATACAATATATTTTACCAAATAATGATGGCATTTTGCCAAATTCTAAACGCTAATTAATGTGAAAGAGTTTTTTTTTTTTTTGAAGGACCTTTTTTATTAAGATAGGCGATAATATATAAAATTCACACATACTACACGAATTCTAAGACTCGAACCCAAAATATTGCCTAGAGAGCAATTGCTCCGTTTGCTAATGTGAAAGACTTTTGGTTGTTATAAGTAAATGGAGTTAAAAGTTGGATAAAGTATGAACAAATAAAGTACCATATCTGTTCACATCCAAAATTTTGCACAAGGTCGAATTTTTTCTGTGTCGTTTATGTTTTTCAATTTTTAATTAAAGAAAATGGGAAACAGGAAAGAGTCAAGTGAGAACAAACAAGGAAGAAAGGACAAGGAACAGATGGAATTAAAAACTCAGAAGTAAAGGTCATTGTGAATTGTTTTTCACTATTTATTCATTTTGTGTATTTTCCCCTTCATCTGTCTCTCTTCTCTCTGTATGTTAAAACAAAATTCTTTTGAGAAAAAAAACAGGCAAATGGTGAAATTGGTGAGTTGAAAGATAAAGGTTTAATTATCACAGGGGACAAGCTTTTAAACCAAATA